GAGGACGTCTGCGACCGCCACGGCCGGCGCGCAGGACTATGCGCGGGGGCCGGGGATCGCGTCCACCGGCGCAACGGGGCGAGGAACGTGGTCGGCACCTTCGCCACCAGTGCGGGCTTCAACCCGACGCTCGAGCAACCTGGCCTCCTACCGCCCCGCCCAGACGACGTCCAGGTGAATGGGCGCCGGCCTGCAGATGTCTACATTCCCTCCTGGTTCCAGGGAGCGCCTGCTGCCTTCGACTTCGCGGTGTCTTCGCCGCACAGGCAGGCTGCCCGTGTCCTGGCGTACCAAGAGGTGGGGCGTGCGGCGTTGGAGTACGTGTTGGTAAAGAGGAACCACCTCGAGTTGGAGTACGAGTTGGTATGACGATGATGATGATGATGGTGGTGATGATGATGACGATGGTGATGACGATGATGATGATGGTGATGAGGATGATGATGATGATGATGATACTGATGATGATGTTGTTGTTGTTGTTGAACATTATTAATTCTAAAGAATAATTATTGTTGGGGCCCCTGGTGCGCGCCCCCCCCGCCGCGCCTAGGCCGCAGCCACATTTTCATCATTTTCGTGAGGAAGTCTCAGGCAAAACGGGGTATACCAGATCCGGTTGTGTTGTTACGATCGGTTTTCCCTTGCAAAAAATAAAGCAAAGTTGACATTTCTTGTTCTAACATGTTGTGTTGTTACGATCGGTTTTCCCTTGCAAAAAATAGGCAAAGTGGACATTTCTTGTTCTAACATGACCAGACTTCAATAACCCCTTGCAACAAATGACACGAAGTGCACATTCGCGCGCGCAAGACGTAATCCTTCCAAAACCTTAGTCTTCGTAGCGATTTTCACATACTAACATGAAAAACCCAATGGTTTTTCAAAAAAAGGGTTTCAAACATTCACCCCGCGCGCTCTTGCGGATTTCTTAGGAAACCCAATACTTTTTCAACATTTCTGTCAAACGGGCTCTTGCGAGCAACTTTTTCACGTGCTTCGAACTTCTGCAACAAAGGTTGCGCGCCTGCCAGGGCCATCATCCCTGTCAAATAATTCCATGTGGGACACATTCGTTTTTTCTTCGCGCGCGCACGCCGAAATCTTCAAAAATCATTGGGTTTCTTAGGAATTTTAGCACCGCGCAACATAAAATCATACGAATCGCACCGTAGGTTCTCGAAACATCTGTACGAATTTTCAAAATTTCTACCCGCGCGCGCTGTCCGAATCCTTAAAAACCAATGGTTTTTCAACATTTATGTTATAGAGCTCGCGCGAGCTGTTTTCGCAAGCTCTTTCAACGGCGTTCGCGCGCCTGCCAGGGGCCACAGTCCCTTGCAAAAAATATCATGCGGGACACATGCGCGCGTCGTCGCGTCGTCGTTGTCGGCATGGTACCACAACAAGTCAGTGTGTCACCACGTCATCGAACAAAATCACTGATCACTGTCACATCCGTAGCCATCTCGGATCAAGTTATCGCCTGTGTTCTTGGATGGGTCATGGCTTTGTCGGCGAAAGCCCTTGACGAGCAGTATGGCCCAGAGCTGTCGCGGCCTCCCTTGGCCGACTGCGGCAGCCCGTTTTATTTGCATCAGGCGCTCGTTGCAAAGGGTATCCAGGTCAGTCACCAGGCGTGCAAGGTTTGGTGGGTCAAGTATCGGGTTGTGCCTGGCAAGGTAGTATTTCTAGCGCCAAGGAGCTGGAGGAGCAGCACGGCTCTGCCATCCGCCATCTGGGCATCGAGTATAATACAGCTTTCAAATTATGTGGGGCGCTCCGACGGTTGGATCCACCACTGTATGTGTCAAATCCGGTCGCAACGGCGTGGCTACTGCAGTATTCTTCCAAAGAGACGCTTGTCATAGTGCAGAACGCTGGCCATTTGGAGACCTGGTATGGAGAACGTATTCGCACAGACATGCCCGAGGGGACTACTGACGGGGCCGTCCTGAAGCAGTGGCTCCTGGGACATTTATCTGTATCTGCTGACGCCAGGGTATGCCAGAAGTGGCTCAGCACTGAGTGGGGCGCCAAGGGAGCATTCAATACTGCCCAAGCTGTGGAGGAATGTATAGGCCAGCGTCTTCGACTCAATCAGTATCGGGAGAGCTTCGCCGACGAGGCCGCCGCGGAGGTCCTCTCGCAGCTTCTCTCGGAGAGCGATCCTCCCGTCGCTGTCAGCGGTATGGTTTTGAGGCAATGGCACGTGAAGTATCACCCTGACTCTGGACCTTTGCAGTATGACACGGCTGAAAAGCTCGACGCGGCACTTGGTGACCACGTGCGCGCGGTATATCCAGGGCTGAAGTACCACACGTTGCATACCGCGTTGCGTATGCGACGGAAAGCTGTCTTGGTGTCCCGAGGAGTGTTGAGACAGTGGTGCGATGTGTATGCGTCGGTGAGCTCCTCAGTGCAGGCGGCGGCTTCATCCGCCCAGGCCGTCACCAAGCGTGTATTGAAGCGCCCGGCGGCACAGGTCGCAGGCGGGGTATTGAAACGGCCAGCCGCCACCGGATCTGTCCGCGTGGGCAAACGGCCTGCCGCGGTCGACTGGGAGGAGCCCGTATCGAAGCAGCAGGCCACGGCAGCTTCTTCTTCCACAGATGTGGTTTGTATAAAGCTGCTGACGGGGGATGCTGTAGAGGCGGCATGCGGCAAGCGGTATCGAGAGCAGGTCTCCGACTTGGGCCTTGGCCTCACTTACCAGAATATGCAGGTGCGTCTGAAGGCCTGGGGGTATGAGGCGGGTCAGTATGCCTTGCGAGAGTGGCTCGGCAAGTATCGACTCGGAGACGGTGCCAAACATGGCAATTGCGCCGTCTACGCGTTGTCGCGCAGGGACCTCCAGTACTGGTACCACGTAGAAGGCTTGAGAGGGCGAGCGCTGGTGGACAAGTATCGCGCGGAGACCGGGGTATTTGCCAATTTGTTGTCCCTGGAGAAGTGGCTGAAGGCGCCCTCCCAGCAGCTGGCAATACTGGAGAATGCTGAGGAGATACACAGCCACGTATGCGGGGAGTATGTCCTGGAGCAGCTGCAGAAGGGTGTCTCGGCCGAGGAGGTGAAAAAGCAGTTACTGGCGCAGTATCTCGTGGATTGCAGGACCACGCAGCGGCTCGTAGCGTATCGTCGCTATCGCGAGCAACGTGGCGAATACTGGACCAGCGAGCACCTAGAGCAACAGGAGTGGGAGTTCTTGTATTCCTTGGTTTCTCTGGATAGCAAGCTCGGCCACACCCGGGCGGTTGGCTGTCGCGCCCGGGCTAGACCTGGTTTGGAGGCTGTGCGTGTATCTTTATGTCAGCGCTTGGGCGTGGCGGAAGAGTTGGTGCCTTTGCAGAATCTATCGGTATTTTTTGGTGACCGCGAACGGCATGCCAAGTTGGCACTCGAGTATCCAGGTGCCTTCGTATACAAGGATGCGCTGCCAGGTCCTGTGGTGGAGGCCTACGAGAGGACCTTCCTGGGCCAGGTGCTGCAGGCAATGGCAATGGCAGGGCAGTGGGACGAACAGACTGGGGAGTATACCCCATCCAACGAGGAGGTGGCCGAGGGTATGAGGCGCTGGGCTATGCCACCCGGCGGGGACGGGTTGGTATTCCACTGGCTCAAGGTTCAGGAGAGACAAAAGTACCACTACCACCAGCTTGGGGGGTGGCCGCTCCATCTTCGAGCTGGTGGCACCTCCTTCCGGGTATGCCTCCAGAGAGTGCCCGGAACGAGGTGCCACCAGCTCGAGGGGAAGGCGCGGCCACCCCCCTAGCTGGTGGTAGTGGTACTTTTGTCTCTCCTGAAAGGTGCTGCGCGAGACCACGTGGTTCGCGACTGCTGTGTACTTTCCGTGTATGTGGCAGGGACTCACGGGTGTATGCCTCTGCCTCTCGACGCCGGAGAGTACGCGCCAGTCCAAGGAGAACGGCATGGTCGAGAACCAGCGCCGTATGGGAGGCATCCAGACCCCAGAGTGGATGGCGTTCGCGGTATACTTCTACCCTGGCTTGGTATTCGGCAACTTTTCTGGTTTCGCAGATCCAGCCGCGAAGTATCTGGGCATTTCGGAAGTATTCCATCGGCTGTGCACCCAAGCCGGTATAGCGAACTGGAGATCGCACGTCTTCGTCGGGCACGGCGGCTGGGTGTATGCTGGCTTGCGCAGGCTGTTGCAGCTCCTGCGTATTCACGTGCATTCCGAGGTGGTATCAGGTCTGTCATACAGGCGCATGGCGAGCCTGGATGTATTTGTGGCAACACACACGGGATCCATGGGTATGGAGCCGCCATCTATGGCTCTGTGGAATGCCTCCGACGACGTCAAGGATGGTATCACCTATTTCCCGAAGCAGGACCATTGGTGGCACATGCCAGTATGGCGTTCTTTCGGGCAGTCCGAGTATGGGAATGTCATGGATTACCAGGTGGATCTGGGCATGCCGGCGCATGTCCAGGGCGTCCTGGCGGTATTGGCGCCCCACGCACGCACGGGCGATGTATTCGCGAGGAGGCGTATCGGCACAATGCTTGGACACTTGGCCCCTGATGTATTGCTGCCAGGAGCGCAGCTTGCAATATTGCGCCCGATGCGTGCCATTAGAGACAGGCGTATGCCAGAAGATGATGAGCACAAAGACTCGTCTCTTTAGTATGTCTCCAGAGCACGTATGTGTCCAGAGCCGCCGCGCCTTGTCCTGCTCCTCCTCCTCCTCCTCCTCTGGCGGGGGGCGTGAGGATCCGGCATCGCTGACAACCATCGGGGCAACCATCGGGACCACCATCGGAACAACCATCGGGGCAACCATGGGGACAACCATCGGGACAACGATCGGGACAACCACAACCACCAGGACAACCATCGGGACAACCATCGGGACAACCATCGGGACAACGATCGGGACAACCATCGGGACAACCATCGGGAGAACCATCGGAACAACAATCGGGACAATCATCGGGACAATCATCGCGACAACCATCGGGACAACCACAACCATCAGGACCTCCAACCAGAGAGAGCTAGTCACGTGTACTTCGTAGACGAATGAGCCAGTATTGCACATTGAGGCCGGAACGACAACCACAGAACAATAATGAGCATGTATCGTCTCACAACAACGGAAACAAGTCCTGTGGTATGCTGGCGCCACGCACGTGGTACCACTCAAAATAAGTGTCTTCGCTTGTGTGGTACAGAAACGAAAATACGTCGGAAAACGGTACAGGTGTCCAGTGTTGGAACAGGGGGAAAAGTCGTATACTAAGCTTGCTTCCACAAAATGCTACCACAACAAGTCACTGTACCCATGCGCCAGTGTAGTAGCCAAGATCGTCCGCAGGCCACGAAGTGAAGTGTCCGAACGTCATAGGGCGGGAAGCTGGGTGTGGGTGGTGGCGAAGAGTCGTTTGGAAACTTGGTAGAGCTTGAACCGGCCCCCCCACAAAGTGGGGGTATTGCCCGCCTCCTATGAAAACCCTGGCACTGGTGAGAACGGAGTGTCCCCAGTCTTAAATGATTGTTGTTGTTGTTGTTGTTGTTGTTGTTGTTTGAACATTATTTCTTCTTAAGAATAATTATTGTTGGGGCCCCTGGTGCACGACCCCCCCGCCGCGCCTAGGCCGCAGCCTCATTTTCATCATTTTCGTGAGGAAGTCTCAGGCAAAACGGGTTGGTCCGGATCCGGTTGTGTTGTTACGATCGGTTTTCCCTTGCAACAAATAAGCTAAAGTGGACATTTCTTGTTCTAACATAACCAAACTTCAAGAATCCCTTGCAAAAACATAAGGTAAAGTGGACATTCGCGCGCGCAAGACGAAATCCTTCCAAAACCTTAGTTTTCGTAGCGATTTTAACATAAAAACATCAAAAAACCAATGGTTTTTCAAAAAAAAATGTCAAAATTTCATCCCGCGCGCTCTTGCGGATTCGTAGGAAACCCAACACTTTTTAAACATTTCTGTCAAACGGGCTTTTGCGAGCAACTTTTTCGAACTTCTGCAACAACGGTTGCGCACCTGCCAGGGCCATCATCCCTGTCAAATAATACCATGCGGGACACATTCGTTTTTTCTTCGCGCGCGCACGCCGTCGTCGTCGGCCGCGGGGCCCTGAATAGTAGCCACGGTCGTCCGCATGCCACGAAGTGAAGTGTCCGAACGTCATAGGGCGGGAAGCTGGGTGTGGGTGGTGGCGAAGAGTCGTTTGGAAATTTGGTAGAGCTTGAACCGGCCCCCCCACAAAGTGGGGGTATTGCCCGCCTCCTATGAAAACCCTGGCACTGGTGAGAACGGAGTGTCCCCACGTGCTAGTAATTGTTGTTGTTGTTGTTGTTGTTGTTGTTGTTGTTGTTGTTGTTGTTGTTGTTGTTGTTGTTGTTGTTGTTGTTGTTGAACATTATTAATTCTAAAGAATAATTATTGTTGGGGCCCCTGGTGCACGGCCCCCCTGCGCCGCCTAGGCCGCAGCTACATTTTCATCATTTTCGTGAGGAAGCCTCAGGTAATACGATGTGATCAAGATCCGGTTGTTTTGTTCCCCCCCGTTTTCCCTTGCAAAAAACACTATAAAATGACATTTCTTGTTCTAATATAATCAAATTTCAAGAATCCCTTGCAAAAAATAAGGTAAAGTGGACATTCGCGCGCGCAAGACGAAATCCTTCCAAAAGCTTAGTGTTCGGAGCGATTTTAACATAAAAACATCAAAAAACCAATGGTTTTTCAACAAAAAATGTCAAAATCTCATCCCGCGCGCTCTTGCGGATTCGTAGGAAACCCAACACTTTTTAAACATTTCTGTCAAACGGGCTTTTGCGAGCAACTTTTTCGAACTTCTGCGACAACGGTTGCGCACCTGCCAGGGCCATCATCCCTGTCAAATAATACCATGCGGGACACATTCGTTTTTTCTTCGCGCGCGCACGCCGAAATCTCCAAAAACCATTGGGTTTTTAAGAATTTTAGCACCGCGCATCATAAAATCACACGAATCGCACCGTAGGTCCTCGAAAAACACCTGCACGACTTTTCGACCAAGTTCTGTGGGTGTGTACCCCACGCCAGTGTAGTAGCCACGGTCGTCCGCACGCCACGAAGTGAAGTGTCCCAACGTCATAGGGCGGGAAGCTGGGTTTGGGTGGTCGCGAAGAGTCGTTTGGATATTTGGTAGAGCTTGTAATGCCCCCCCACGAAGTGGGGGTATTGCCTGGTGTCGTATGAAAACCCTGGCACTGGGGAGAACACCACGCGTTCGGGTAAAATGATTGTTGTTGTTGTTGTTGTTGTTGTTGTTTTGTTCTTCTTGTAGCTTTTCCTGGCCTTGACCGACTTGCACGCCGCCCCTTGCCCCGCGGCGTTCCGTGCGGACGCTTCGCTCAGCCAGGGGACGTGGTCCTCGTGGACGTTGACAGTCGTTTGTTCGCAGAACTTTGGAGACGTTTTGAGCGCGGGGGCTGGCGCGCGCGGCTCCGCGATGCCTCCTCCCAGTTCTGAGCCGGGCCCCTTTCTGCCTTGAGCTTGCCCAGCTGCCTCGCGATTTAGGGCTGCCTGGTCTTGAGCCCTTGGTCGCGCCTCACTGGGTGACCCCTCGCTGGGTGACCAAGCTTTCTGAAGCTCTCCTCTGCCGTCTGTCGTGCAAATGGCCGTTCTGCGTGCCCAGACATAGTCACATCCTCGAGGCCACTGTCTTCAAGAGTCTGAGCAAGTACAGTTGCACCAGAATGCCCGATTCTCGGAACCCTGTTCTCTTAGACTCTGGCGTGGCTCTCGGAGCTGGGGCCCATGGGCGCAGCAGCTCTCTGGGTCTGTCTCCTGTCTTGCGCACTCTTCTTCCGTGCGCCATCGGGGGCGGTCTGTACATGGGGGTATGTACTTTCCGACGGGCGTCCATCGGGCCGACGATCCCACCAGGCGCCGTTCGGTCCGACCCCCCTCTCGACCTCCCCTCCCCCGCGTGGCCCGAGGCGGCGGGGCCGGGGGAGTTTGAACGCTTCGATTGCGTGGCTCAGGCCGATGCTCTCTCCCCGTGTCCCACTTGCCTCTGGGCATGCCTTCGTGCCCTGCTTGCGGCTCGTGGGTTTGGCTCTTTGGGCCTCCGCTGGTCGGGCGCGGGGATTTCCCGGGCGCCGCCGGGATTGCGCGCGCCAGCGCTGGGGTCGCCACCGGCCCCTCTCGCCGTGCGGAGGGAGAAGTCGCGGGGGATGGTGCCGATCCTGAGGCCCCCCCTGCGCCTCTCTCCTCGAGCACCGCCAGCGCCCAGTCCGCCGCGCTGGAGCTCGCGAATGGCTGGAGATGTTCCTGCCGTGGCGAGTGGCCGAGATGCCCTTGGGATCCGCTAGCGGCGGTGGTCAGCGCGTCTTCGCCCAAGCTGCCAGGCTGAGTGACGTACGAGCTGCACGTCATGTTGCCACCATCGAGGCGGCCTTTCGGCGTGCGGCGCGCGACTGCCATCCTGACTAATGAGGGGCGTCGCTCTCCGCCGCCGACGTCGAGGATCGGAAGGATTCAAACGGCTGTGCGGCGCAAAACCGCTGCCGCTCAACTGGTGGCTCCTAGCTCCGGCAGTGGGGGGCAGCCTGCCAGGCTCTCGTCTGTGCCAGGGGCCGCAGCAAGGCGCGCGCAAGGGCAAGGCGCTTGCCGGCCGCTCTCTCGTGCTGTCCGCCCTGGACGAGGCCGCGCCCGATCGTGTCGTGTCGTCGCGGGCTGAGCGCGCCGCTTTTGGTTCAGCTTTGCATGGTGCCTCGGACCCCCTTTCTGGCCAGCCGCCTGTCCACCAACGCCTTGGTCCCCGCGATGAGGCCGTCGAGGGCCGACCGAACCTGGGAGGCCACCGCCTCGGGCGCTCGCCGCCCGCGGCACGCGGCAGCCAAGTGCTAGGCGAGTCGCGCGGCTCTCTCCGCTCCTGAGGGGAGGCCGCCCTCCCGCCTGGGCGCCGCGCTCGGCAGACTGCGAACCGTCGCGCCGCAGCAGAGCGTGCTGCCTTGCGGTCCCGCAGTCTGCCTTCCGCGCGAGCGACGAGCGGGGGCGGGGGCCTGACTTCTCCTCGAAGGTCCCCGAACCCCTACGGCCGCGACACAAGCGGAGGGTCGTTGGCAGACGCTGGCGTCGCATCTGCGGGTCCTGCGACGCCTTCTCGCGGCAGGTCGCGGCTCGCCCCGCCAGCTGCCGGGGCTCGGCGCCCAACGGCGCCTCCTCGCGGCAGGTCGCGGCACGCCTCCCCGGCCGCCGGGGCGCGGCGCCTTGCGACGCCCTCGCGGCGCGGGCGCGCCGGGCCTACCCCGCCCCAGGCATTCCGCCCTGGAAGCTCCGTGGATCCCTGCGACTCGGACTTTGATTCCGAGGGCCCCGCGGATCTCGGACGATGCCTTGCGCAGGATCGTCTGGGCCGCCCAACGGTCTGTGGCGTCTGAGCAGGACGCGTCCGTGGAGGTCACGTCTCGTGGGCCGCCTCCTCGCTCCTCGGGTGCCAGACGGAGTGGGGTCCTTCTGAGGTCGTGGGTGGAACACCTTCGAGGCGAAGCTGGCAGCGCTGGGCAGGTCGGCGCCGCAGTGGCCCCGCGCAGCCGATCGAGAGGCGCCTCGACTGCTGGCGCGGCTGGCATGCGCTCTTCCAGCGAGGGCGCTACGCCGCCGCTGGGGAGGGTTCGTGCCGTCGCTGCTCAGTCTATTGGTGTGTCTCCTGATGTCCCTGCGAAGCTGGGCGATGCAGCTTGTGTCCCGCGCAGCACTTCAAAGTTCGTCTCGAGCGCTGGGCAGGCAGGCATGCGCCCTCCCAGCGAGGGCGGTACGCCGCCGCAGGGGAGGGTTCGTGCCGTCGCTGCCCAGCCAACCGACGTGCCCCCTGCTAGTCGCGCGGGGCCTCTGTCCAAGCGATGCCGGCGCGCCGCTCCTGTGCCGACGTCGAAGGCGCCATCTGATGCTGCTGCTGCTGCTGCTGCTGCGGAAGTCGCAGATTTTCCCTGCATGCCGTTGCTGTCGCCTACTAGCCGAGATGACTCGCCATGTCGGTCGCCCTTCCGGCTGCCGCGGCTACGGCGCTTGGCTGGCGGCTGCAGGTGGCGGGCGAACCTGTGACAGTTGTGCAATACTCCGAGGAACGTAAAGAGTTGTTT